TTAATCTCCTGTATGAAACAATACACAGTGTTACTCGCTGAGTCTGGGTGCTAACCCGCTCATTTGAGGGGTATGCTGCAATACCAATTGCTATAAACTAAAAGGACTGTTGCTTGATGATTCCACAACCCTGTATGAAGTAATACAGATTGTTTATACTTATCCAGGACTTGCATAATTGCATTACATAACCACATGCGTTTACATTGTGTACTTTTGAGATCCTCCTAATAAGCTGACTGCATATAGTTCCTTGAAGCTAAGAGACGCACAGGAAGTAGAGCCTATCTGCAGCTGTGGTTCATACCAGGTAAAGACTAAGTACCCTGCTACATGCGTTTCATACAGGGGATTATGACAGACATGCTGCACATCATGTAAGTCATTTTAGTAGGCCTTTTCTGAAGAGTGAGAGACATGGCAGGTATATTCAGAAATACAAATTACATGGGAATATGTCAGAGACACAAAGCAGGATTACTTCACAGTAGGCCACTTTAGTAGGACACATTTGAGAAATGAGAGATGGGGCACTTTTTATTTGGAAATAAAACTTGCATTGGATTATGTCAGAGACACAATGCAAAATATTGCACAGGCAGTGTTGAATCAGTGGCAGGAGATGATAATAGATGGCAGGCCAGCAGTAGCGGCAGGAAATGTCAATGGATAGCAGGCAAGCAGCAGTGTCCCAAGATGCTAATGGTGTGTAATGCTAAGCAAGAGGTTATTTTATCTGGTTAGGATCTCAATTGAGGAGAGGGAGTGAATATCTTCATGCTACTACGTTTTGCAGGGAAATGTATTAGCAATGTCTATATTCCTTCATACAAATAATATCTCAAATCAAGGTGAAATAAGTCCTGCAGAGGATTGGAGGCTAATATTACATCATGCACCCACAGTGTGTTATATATTGTACAGTCCTCTGTTTTATTAACAGGATTTAGAGGCCCAGCAGGATAATCAGGGCCGTCTTTAATATTGATTGGACCCCGGGCAAACATTTTCTTGGGCCCCCCACCACGCCCCCCCTGCAATATTGCCGCTATATGCTGACAGAGCAGAGCTGCAGCTGGGATGGATCCAAAAAATATTGTCCAGATCCACCCCACCACCTGATTGACACCTGACTCTACCTCTCTAGAGGTTGTGTCCGCCCCATCCATCCCTCCAGTCAGCGTTGGAGGATCAGAGGGGAGGGGGATATTCCTGCGAGGAGCCGTGACTTACAGTCACCGCTCCCTGCAGAGAGAGTGAGTGCAGGAACTGAGTGATCAGCGGTTTGTGATCGCTCAGTTCTTGATCAAGAGAGCCAACCTGTGGCAGCTTCAGTAACTAGGGGAAGAGCGCATTTCACTCTCCCCATAATTCTACTTTCATGGTAAATGTGGATAATTCGCCACCTACCACTTCCACTCCATAGAATGACAACAATAATAATAATGACACCTGAGCATGTCCCCTGGTGTCTATTATTATTATGCCCCCCGTGTCATTATTATTATGTCCCCCTGGTGTCATTATTATTATTATGTCCCCCTGGTGTCATTATTATTATTATTATGTCCGTTGGTGTCATTATTATTATTATTATTATTATGTCCCCTGGTGTCATTATCATCATTATTATTATGTCCCCTGGTGTCATTATTATTATGTCTCCTGGTGTCATTATTCCCGGACATAACAATAATGACACCAGGGGATGGACATAACAATAATGACACCAGGGGATGGACATAACAACGGGGACAGACATAACAATAATGGCACTGGGGACGGACATAACAATAATGACACCAGGGGATGGACATAACAATAATGACAACAGGGACGGACATAACAATAATGACACCAGGGGATGGACATAACAATAATGACACCAGGGGACGGACAGAACAATAATGACACCAGCGGATGGACATAACAATAATGACGCCAGGGGATGGATATAACAATAATGACACCAGGTGATGGACATAACAATAATGACACCAGGGGATGGACATAACAATAATGACACCAGGGGATGGACATAACAATAATGACAACGGGGGATGGACATAACAATAATGACACCAGGGGGATGGACAGAACAATAATGACACCAGGGGATGGACAGAACAATAATGACATCAGGGGATGGACATAACAATAATGACACCAGGGATGGACAGAACAATAATGACACCAGGGGATGGACATAACAATAATGCCAACGGGGATGGACATAACAATAATTACACCAGGGGATGGACATAACAATAATGACAACGGGGCATGGACATAACAATAATGACACCAGGGGATGGACATAACAATAATGACACTGGGGACGGACATAACAATAATGACACCAGGGGACGGAGATAACAATCATGACATCGGGGGGACATAATAATAATGACACAAGGGGGACATAATAATGACACTGGGGGACATAATAATAATGACATGGGGGGGACGTAATAATAATAATGACACCAGGGGGACATGCTCAGGTGTCATGATTTTTTTTATACAGCATTACATCATAGCCCAGCAGTGCCACACCTAACCCGACCACCCCCATAAGAGCAGAGCTGCAGCTGGGATGGATCCAAAAAATATTGTCCAGATCCACCCCACCACCTGATTGACACCTGACTCTACCTCTCTAGAGGTTGTGTCCGCCCCATCCATCCCTCCAGTCAGCGTTGGAGGATCAGAGGGGAGGGGGATATTCCTGCGAGGAGCCGTGACTTACAGTCACCGCTCCCTGCAGAGAGAGTGAGTGCAGGAACTGAGTGATCAGCGGTTTGTGATCGCTCAGTTCTTGATCAAGAGAGCCAACCTGTGGCAGCTTCAGTAACTAGGGGAAGAGCGCATTTCACTCTCCCCATAATTCTACTTTCATGGTAAATGTGGATAATTCGCCACCTACCACTTCCACTCCATAGAATGACAACAATAATAATAATGACACCTGAGCATGTCCCCTGGTGTCTATTATTATTATGCCCCCCGTGTCATTATTATTATGTCCCCCTGGTGTCATTATTATTATTATGTCCCCCTGGTGTCATTATTATTATTATTATGTCCGTTGGTGTCATTATTATTATTATTATTATTATGTCCCCTGGTGTCATTATCATCATTATTATTATGTCCCCTGGTGTCATTATTATTATGTCTCCTGGTGTCATTATTCCCGGACATAACAATAATGACACCAGGGGATGGACATAACAATAATGACACCAGGGGATGGACATAACAACGGGGACAGACATAACAATAATGGCACTGGGGACGGACATAACAATAATGACACCAGGGGATGGACATAACAATAATGACAACAGGGACGGACATAACAATAATGACACCAGGGGATGGACATAACAATAATGACACCAGGGGACGGACAGAACAATAATGACACCAGCGGATGGACATAACAATAATGACGCCAGGGGATGGATATAACAATAATGACACCAGGTGATGGACATAACAATAATGACACCAGGGGATGGACATAACAATAATGACACCAGGGGATGGACATAACAATAATGACAACGGGGGATGGACATAACAATAATGACACCAGGGGGATGGACAGAACAATAATGACACCAGGGGATGGACAGAACAATAATGACATCAGGGGATGGACATAACAATAATGACACCAGGGATGGACAGAACAATAATGACACCAGGGGATGGACATAACAATAATGCCAACGGGGATGGACATAACAATAATTACACCAGGGGATGGACATAACAATAATGACAACGGGGCATGGACATAACAATAATGACACCAGGGGATGGACATAACAATAATGACACTGGGGACGGACATAACAATAATGACACCAGGGGACGGAGATAACAATCATGACATCGGGGGGACATAATAATAATGACACAAGGGGGACATAATAATGACACTGGGGGACATAATAATAATGACATGGGGGGGACGTAATAATAATAATGACACCAGGGGGACATGCTCAGGTGTCATGATTTTTTTTATACAGCATTACATCATAGCCCAGCAGTGCCACACCTAACCCGACCACCCCCATCCCTCTTCTCCCCCCCACCCAGATAGAAGCCCAACCCAGCAGTCATGTGCACTCACCGTGGACAGGGGGAGGATGAGACTGCAGCCATGGAGGGAGGAGGGCAGGACCATGCAGCCGGGTGTGCAAAATCGATCTTCCTCCTCTGATGAGTGGGAGGTGACATCCCAGGCTGCAGAGATCTTTGCTGCACATAGGGAGTGGGACAGGAGGCTGCTGCCCTCTAGTGTCAGAAAGCGGTAGTGCACACTAGACGGCTGGTACAGAAACGTTTCAAACTTTCACCAGCTCTAGTTTATGGGGTGCAGGGCCCCACAACAATGATTGGGCCCTGGGCAAGTGCCCCTTTTGCCACGCCTTAAAGACGGCCCTGAGGATAATGCACCCTACCACACTGCAGAACTGGTTCAAGAATGGTTTCAGGAACACAACAATGAATTTGAGTGCTTGACTTGGCTCCAAATTCTGCATATCTCAATTCAAGCGAGCATCTGTGGGATTTGCTGGAAAAACAAGTTTGATACATGGAGGCCCCACCTCTCAACTAACAGGATTTAAAGGATCTGCTAGTGACGGCTTGGTGCCAGATACCACAGCATACCTTCATAGGTCTAAATCAGTCCATGCCTCCACAGGTCAGTCCTGTTTTGGTGGAAAAGTGGGACCTACTAAATTTTAGGCAGGTGGCTGATTGGTGTATATTGTTATTGGTGCCTAGGTGAACTTGTCGATAAGCTTCTTGGGAGAACAACAAACATGCAAAGTTTGCTGCAAACTCAACCCTCATCCCCATTGATCTTTCCTAATGGTATAGATTTTGATTCTCTATATTGCAACTGTATATATTTCACTGTGCTTATTGTCTTCACCTCATTGTATATTAAATGTTACTTTATTCTTTTTCTTTCACAGTATGTCCCTCCTGACCTGTGCATTTGTAATTTTGTGCTGGAGCAGTCCCTCTCTGTTAGAGCCCTTCAGGAAATGTTGGCAAACACAATGGCACATGGCAATGAAGGGGTAAGTCAGTTTTCATTTTGTTATAGTGTAGCTTCCTCAAAAGTTTGTTTCCTAATAATTTATCATGACTGAAGTAACCAAGAAAAGTGCAATTTTTTTTAAGGAAGTTATTTTATATATTATCTTAAGAAACACAACATGAACAGACATAATGTGCTGTCACAGTAAATATTATTGTTTTATAAAAGCAGTTAATCAACTAATGAGAATATAGATTGTCAATGCATAAAGCAAGTGATTTCTTTGGATTTGTAGTATACTTCTGTGTACGTCAGCTTATGTAATATTAAAATGTTCTGGAATGTATGCAATATCCTATCTATCTATCTATCTATCTATCTATCTATCTATCTATCTATTGATAGATATATCTACATATATCTATCTATAGATAGATCTATCAATAGATAGATAGATCTATCTATAGATAGATATATCTACATATATCTATCTATCTATCTATCTATTGATAGATCTATCTATTGATAGGTCTATCTATCTATCTATCTATCTATCTATCTATCTATCTATCTATCTATCTATTGATAGATCTATCTATAGATAGATATATCTACATATATCTATCTATAGATAGATCTATCAATAGATAGATAGATAGATAGATCTATCTATAGATAGATAGATCTACATATATCTATCTATCTATCTATCTATTGATAGATCTATCTATCGTTGTCAATGTTTTCCATCGTCGATTCGTCGGCTAAAATTAAAATTTCCCGCTCGCCGCTTACGCCAAACCCACGTCGGGGTTTCCCACTCATGCCCGCCTCTTCGCAGCTCCATACACGAGTTACGCTATGCACGCTGCGGACGCCATGCCCACCGCGCACACGGCCGCCGGACACACGACCGCAGAGCACGCCGCCGCAGCGACTTACAAGGGTTCAGAAACAGGTAAGGGGGACCTGTTTTAATGTTTCCTGTTTAAAAAAAAAATCGGCACACTGTAGTACACCAGCAGCTATAGAGGAACAACAAATCCCAGCAATAATA